GACTCTTAAAGTCACAAGTTTTCCCTCTTAAGGGCTTGTGGAGACCCTGTCCCGTCTCCATAAAAGGAAACAAGTGCATCTGAGGGTTAATTACTCTTGATGTCACCTTCGTCAGGTATTACAAGGTGAGCTGCCACAGCTCACACACTGATCAGCATTAATCGCTGTCACAGGGACGACTGCTGGCCCCTCTGCACTCCCAGGCTGCTCCCAGCACTCCAGCCTGACGGGTTGTAGAAATGCTAGCCGCCTCCCCAACTCCCAAACCCCACTCTGAGCACGGGCTCTACTTCCCTTAGGGTCACCCAGGTTTGAGCTGATCCCATGTGATGAAGTGAGATTCCACGAGTGGCCCAGATCTACAGCATTCAATCTTTTTTCAGCTGCAGATGCTTTACCCCCAGTGAAGTGAGCTGCAGAAGGCCGCTCTCCTCTCCCAGCTGAAATGCTGCCTGGTACCCCTCAGTAGGAGGCCGCCCTCTCTGGCTCGGTCACCAACGCAATGGCCTCCTCCCTGTGCTGTGTGCGCCTCGGGCCTCCCACTGCGGGCCCCCAAGGACTTCCCTCTTCCCTCTGTCCCTCCTCTTCGTGCCCTGTCCCACCGGTAACCTTTCAGTAGCAGGAACCACCCTCAGTGTTCCCTCCTTGCGGGTCCCAAGTCAGGCTCATCCTCACCAGACCCAGACCCCTCGTGGTCTCGCCCTGGACCATATACCCTGCAGCCACTGGCTACAGGAGGCTGCTGAGCACTTGAAATGTGTGTGACTGACCCAAATCAAGGTGATATTCAAAGTGTATCCTATACTCCGGCTTGAAGACTTAATACAAAAAAGAGTGCAAAATATCTCATGAATAATTTTTGTAGCCATTACTTGCTCCAAATACAATCTTTTAGGTATATTGGGTTTAAGTATAGCTTATGATGCAAATTAATTTTACTTGTGTTTTCCTTCATTTCATGTGGCTACTTGTTATTGTTCAGTTGCTAAGTCATGCCCAACTCTTTGCAACCCCATGGACTGCAGCACACCAGGCCTCCCTGTTCTTTGCCATCTTCCAGAGCTTGCTCAAACTCATGTCCATTGAGTCAGTGATGCCATCCCACCATCTCGTCCTCTATCGCTCCCTGCTCCTCCTGCCCTCAATATTTCCCAGCACCAGAATCTTTTTCGATGAGTTGGCTCATCGCATCAGGTGGCCAAAATATTGGAACTTCAGCTTCAGCATCAGTCCCTCCAATGAATATTCAGGGTTGATTTCCTTTAGGATGGACTGGTTTGATCTCCTTGCTTCCCAAGAGACTCTCAAAAGTCTGGTCCAGCACCACAGTTCAAAAGCATCGATTCCTCGATGCTCAACCTTCTTTATGGTCCAACTGTCACATTCATACATGACTACTGGAAAAACCATAGCTTTGACTACAAGGATCTTTGTCGGCAAAGTGATCTCTCTGCTTTTTAATATGCTGTCTAGGTTTGTCATAGCTTTCTTTCCAAGGCTACTAGAAAATTTAAAATCAGAAGAGGGGAAAGCTCATATCTTAATGTCATTGGCATCTGGGTCTCACTGGTGAGAAGGGATGGGCCAGGACCACGTGTGTACGCCAGTCCTTCACTCTGTCTTCCTGCTGATTCTCTTTTAGAAGGTCTGCCCTGGAATCCACACTACAACCAGCATGCAAGTCCTTCCCAAACCTCACTTAGGTTGAGAAATTCTTGTTCCCACTATTAGTGTAACCTGGACCTTATTTCCCATGGGACCACCTAGGGGGGACGCTCATTCACACGGAGGTGTAAATGACTGACAACTGAGGCCCCTTCATTGGGAGGGAACCCCAGTAGGGGGTCCCAGGTCTGGGATGACACCAAGCTCTTCCCAGGCTAGCTGGCAGCCCATGCTTACTCTCTCTGGTCCAAGGTCCCGTGCAGATAGATAGCGCATCCTGCACTCAACCGGACAAAAGGACCACATGTAGATAAGGAAGAAAACGGAAACCACACCTCCCGGGTTTCTGGAGGTCTGTCCCTATCACCAGAACTCTGCCCCCATCTCCTGGAGCGCATATCTGCATTTGTCATCTCATACTCTTCAACCATGAAGGAAGCAGAAATGAGTCCATCCTCACACTGCCTTCAGTGATGGCCAGGCCAGTGGAGGATAAGAATGAAGTACCAAGTTCAAGTCAAGAACCCTCAGAGAGCTTCTGGGGGCAGGGATGTCGAGACCAGCACACTCTGGCAGCAAAGGTCCAGCACCCAGCCCTCCAGTACCAGTCCAGGTGACGAGGAGCTGCTCCATCAGCCAGAAGGGAGGAGAGAGGCTGAGCAGTGCAGCCGTGACTGAGAGCCAGACGGAGGCTGGGGCTCTGTCCTTCCTAAAGGTCAGGAGAGGCTGGTGGCCCATCAGTGACTCACCTGGATGCTCTGGACCAAGTGGGTGGGTAACACTTGTCAGTGGTAACAGTAAAGCCAAGCCCCTGCAACATTTGGTGCCCCAGGCAGTTTGACATTTTCTTTCTTGTTTTTTTAACATTGCTTAATCTCTACAGCTATGCAGGCAGGTGGGCGGAGAGCAATTCAGGACTGTTGTGTTTCTTAAATGAATGAATGTTGGTCTATCACTGTAACCCCCAGTTCTTACATTATGCCTTGAATGCACTGGACTAAGTGGCACTGGATAATCAGTCTACCGGGTTTGATTCCTTGGAGGTGTACAGAAACTTCGTGGGATATGAATTCATGGAGCTGCTGTGATGTAGGATGCTAAGGAGAAGGGGGGGACTCAGGGATGCAGGTGGGGGACAGGACACAGGGGAGAGGCTGGGCCCGGCAGCCTCAAGTCATACCCTGCAGGCGCCCCCACACCTCTCCTGGACCCCACCACCACCACCCCCGCAGCAAGCCCTCTCCCGCTGGCTCCAGCCTCCCTCCCAGTCCTGGAATTAATAAAGACTCTGAGCAGACTGCGGTTTGCGAGTCTGAAAGCCGGTTCCTGCCCACGTCACTGCCCTGAGAGGAGTGGGGCCCAGTTTCTCCCCAGCACCCTCATCCTTCCCCCTCCCCAGGAGGGGGCAGGCACTCAGATCCACTCTACCCCCTGGCCCCCCCTCCCTTCCTCCAGCAGGCACATCTCAGGCCCTGAGCCTCAGCCCCTAACCCTGAGCATCCCCTACCCTCAACAACAAGGGCTGGCTTGGGCTCATCATCTCATCAGCACCCCCGCCAAAGGACCCCCAAAGAACATGCACAGGAAGTAAGAGCTGGACACTTGCTGTGCACGCACAGCTTCTAGACAATTCTGCTAGCGTGCACGCCCACCGCGTTCCACACTCCTGGAGCAGCCACTGCCTGAGACCAGGGAGAGGACGGGGATAGCCCAGGGTCCCAGGGTGACCCAGCAGAGAGCCAAGTCTAATGGTTACAAGGAGTGGGGCTTGCAGAACTAATGTTAACAACAGCAGCACTGGAACTAAGAGTAGGGGACAGAGCATTGCGGAACTGCAGACACGGTACAGAAACATATGAGCTCATCTCACTCATCTTTGCAATAACCTCCCAGGCAGGAATATTTATCACCATAAGACAGATGAGGAACCCGAAGTCCTTTGAAGAGGTTACCCTGACAGAAAGTGCTCGAGCCAGAATTTTAGTCCTAGGTCCCACGAAGCCCAATGCCTGGCCTCTGGCCCCTGCAGTTACGGTCTCCCCTGCTGGCCTTGCTGACTGCCTCGGTGCTCCTGGCTGGAGAAGGGGTCCTTTAACTCCTGTCCTCAGGCTTGTGGCTGAGTTCTCCTCTTAGCCTCCATCTGGGTGCAGGGAAAAGCTCTGAGAACTCACGGCCTTGACTTTTCCCTGTCATAAGCTGTGATGAAATCAGGTCCAGTTTCCCTCTCCTATCCCCTGGCCCCCAAATTTCTTCCCCACTTAGGTGGGGAGGTGTGACCCCCTCGTTTCCCATCCCATCTCACCCCCTCAATCCACAGAGTCCCCATCCCACAGTCAGGCGAGGACAACCCAAGTCCTTCTGGAAATGCTGGTCCCAGTTGTTTTAGCACAGGGCCTCCCCCTCCTGGCCACCAGAGGAACATCAGTCCCAGGCATTCTCCTGGGGCCAGGAGAGACCTGGAAGTCTGAGGGCTACCAGGCCTGGTGTGGGTTCTAGGGATGCTCAGCGTTGGGACAGGTGGGGGCCAAGTGATAAAGGTGGGGGATGTTGGGCCACTTATCAGTCTGAGTGGGCTCCCCCACCCCCCTGGTTCTCTGCAGGGCACCTGGGGGTCCAGCCTAACCTTGACCAGGCATCGTGGCCTGCATAAACCGCAAGGGGCTATACCTTCATCCATGACAGACGGAGCCCCTGCGATATATCAGAGTCTCCAATGTGACCCCCTGATGCCCCAGGGTCTCAACCCCCAAGCCATTCTGCCCGCAGCCACCTGGCCTCTGCAGACCTGGATCCTAGACCGACCCATCACCCCCTCCCCAGCCTCAGGCAGCAGGCTGGGACCTTAACCCACAGAGAATGGAGCCCTGCGGGGCATCAGGGTCCGCTTCCCTGCCCCCAGATGCCCCACGGGGGCAGCAGCAACTCGACCTCACCTTCCCAGCCATTCTGCCCACAGCCTCTTGACCGCTCCAGGCCCGGGCCTGGATGGACCCGGGACCCCAGGTCTGACCAACAGCCCCCTCCCCAGCTTTGGCCTGTCTCTGGCCAGGTCTGGGGGTGCTGAGGGAGTCTGGAGGGCCGGGGTGGGGGCGCAGAGGCGCAGGACAGCTGGCCTCTGTCCCCACACTGGGCCTGGGGCCCAGCCGGAGGGGCGGGGGCCTGGCCACTCAGGCCTTGGCTGGGGCCGGATTTTTGGCCGGGCTGCAGGGCCCTCCCTCCTGCTTCCTCTCCCGAGGGCTGTCCTGGCAGAGGCCCCCCTCGCACTTTCTGGCGGGAACAGGGCCAGCAGCGAAAGAACAGCCGCAGAGGGAAAGCGGGAGAGAGATGGGGGGAAACTGTGTGTGTGTGTGTGTGCGCGTGTGTATGTGCGCGCGTGTGTTTTAAGGGAAAAAAAAAAAAGAGCCCACAGTCCAGTCCAGTCAGACCCAGCCTGGGAGGCTTGCGAGCCGGCCTTTCGTAATTGCCCCCTCCCCGTGGCCCCCTCCCCGAGGCCTCCCCCTTCTCCCGCCCTCCCGCCCGCCCTCTCTCCCTCCCTCCTTCCCTCGCAGCCGAGGAGGCAGCAATTACGCTTTGGGGATAAAACGAGGCGCAGAGAGCGGGCTGGGGCATTTCTCCCCGAGATGGCGGGTCTGACAGCTGCGGCTCGGCGGCCCGGAGTCCTCCTGCTCCTGCTGTGCATCCTCCACCCCTCGCAGCCTGGAGGTAGGCCTCACCCTGTTCCCCCGAAGGGCCCGCAGCCCTCGGGCCACCCGCTCAGGTGGCTGGACCGACCGACGAGAGGGCGCCCTGCACTCCCAGCACCCTCCAGGGGGGGTCCCAGGCAGGAGCCCCTCGGCCACTGGAACCTCAGAACCGCCCCTCCTGGGAGCCAGCCGTGCGGAGCAGAAACCTGTCGTATGCTCGCCCCGAGACTCAGAATGGTCCCAGACCAGTGCCGGCTTCTGCTGCCCCGACAGGGCGGATGAACCTTGCCCTGTCCTGGGGGGCTCTCCCAAGGTGGGGGTCCCGAGCACGCTGGGGAAGGGCCGGCAAGGTCCCGTCGGGTCTGTGAGCACCGGCGGTTTGCACACCTGTGGACCCGGTGGCTGTGCACACGTGCCCCGGGGACAGGGGACCTGGGCTGGAGGCCAGCTCTGCGGCAGCTAGCTCTCTGACCTCGGCAGGTTCCTCGTCCCCGGGGAAGTAGGGACCCGCTCCGGGTGATGTCAGGGTTAAGTTGATTACAGGGCTGCGGATTGGAAAGCTGCCACTGTGGTCTGTCCCTGGTGAGAAAGGCTGGGACTTCTGAGCGTGTGTGTGAGTGTGTGAATGTGCGTGTGTGCATGAGTGTGTTACATGCTCTTGCCCAGGCGTGCATGGTCTGTAGGCGTCCAATCGTGTCATCAGATAGGGGAGGAGGTCATCAGATAGAGGACGAGGGGATGAATGTTCACAGGTTTATCCCTGGACAGGTGTGTGTGTGTGTGTGTGTGTGTGTGTGTGTGTTGGAAGGAGGGGTGTTATAGGATATATGAAAGTACCCATTAACATGTGCAAAAGTCTGAACACAGAGGCGATCTGGTGTCCAGGTGTGTCACTGGGTGTGGTCTGTCATTGTGCATATGCATGTGTGAGTATGTGTGCGTGTGTTGGAAGGAGGCATGTTATAGGATATATTCATAAGATATGTGAAAGTGCCTGTTAGCATGTGCAAAAGTCTGCCACCCAACAGGCGTCCACACAGAGGCAATCTGGTGTCCAGGTGTGTCACCGGGTGTGGTTTGTCACTGAGTATGTGCGTGCATGTGAGTGTGTGCGTGCGAGTATGTGTGCTATGGAACACCAGCAAGGACAGTGAAGCTGGGGAAGGTATCCGTCTCCTGGCAGAGGGAGAGCCCAGCGTGCTGGGGGCTTGCACGAACCTGGGGGCACTCCCCGGCCACCTGGCATGTTCCCAGCCATGGTCCCGGAGGACACCCCCTCAGGGCTGCCACACCTTGGGGGGACTCTGGGAATGGTCCCCCAGCATCCCCGAAGGTGCTCCTGGCCATGGGGAGAGAGAGGTGCAGGCAGCTCATGAACCTTTCGTGGGGTAGCCTGGGTGGGCTCTGGTTTCCAGGAGGGTCCTCTTTGCCATGAGAACCAGTGGGGGCCAGTGTCGGGATGGGGGGGTGGGCTCCGGGTGGAGCAGGGCCAGGCCGGAGGGCAAGGGCAGCAGCTGTTTCCGTGAGATTGACCAGCGGGGCAGGACCGCTGGGAGCAGGGGCTTCCTGCGCAGAGGTCGGCTCCCGAGTCTGGACAAAGCCGAGGGATGCTGGTGCAGCATCAGGTGGGGTCCCATGGGGGGCAGAGAGACCATTCCGGGGGAGCAGCTGTCCCTGGGCCTGAGATGGCAGCTCGGGTCCCATCTGCACCTCCTCCCCGGAGTCTGGCCCCTGGACACCTTCCTTCCCAGAGACGGCTCCCCTCTAGAGCACGGCATGTAGCTCCCGCAGGAACCCTGAGATTAAAGAATTTTTATCTACGCTCCACAAACAGGGAGATTGAGGCTGAGACAGGCTAAGGCAGCACCACGGGGTGAGTACCAGCCAGTTCATCCCTGGGCTAAAGGATGAGGGCGGCAGGGGCCAGGTTCCAAGTGGCATTTGGGAAGGGGCAGGCCTGGGGCTGAGTACTCTGGGGTGGGCCTGCCCTAAGAAGAATGCACCCTCAATGACCGGGCTAAATGTTCCCTGGCCCTGTTCTTTTTTTGCAAACATAAATCTCAGTTCTGTCCCGGGTGGTAGAGTAGCCGGGTCCAAATAAGGGGTGTGTGAACTGATGAGGTCTTCTGAGGTTTGTGCCCAGAGCCTCCCAAAGGAGGCCCCCCTCCCACACGCACATGCTCACACAAGCACGCACGCACTCACACCTGCCCGGCCACCCTGAGGGATGTCACCCTCATGGGTCCCCCAGTCCCAAAGAACCATGTTGCCAATGGAGACAAAAAAGGGACAACCCAGGAAGGCTCTGCGATGGAAGGGTTGTCTGGACCCATTTAAGATGGGTCAAAAGTAGCTTTGAAGATCATTTGCCTCAGACTCCCTTGCCATTTAAAGAGAGAGAGAAATTAAATCAGTTATAATTGGGACCAGCTGTCCCAAATCCCCAGAAATTTTATCATTTTAGCTTTGGGTGGTTTTTCGGTTTTGTTTTTCTGATTTCGGAACTGAAGATGGTTTTGAAACAGGGATTTTTTTCAGTCCTGACTGCCTATTGGAATTACACAGGGAACTTGAAACCATTCTGACATGGGGTCTCACCCCAAAATTCTGGCTTTACTCGGTCTGAGGAGGGACCCAGATGTGTAGGCCTTGTTAAAGCCGCCGCCCAGGTGATTCTGAGGGGCCTCCAGGGCCTCGGACCCCCAGTTTAGGGGTTGATGCTGCTCTCTGAGTCTGCTGGGGCTGAGGCAGGAAGGCAGGCGTGCCCGAGGGGAGGGAGGGGACAGACTCAGTCACTGGAGGGCGGATTGTTTTTGAAAAGCCCTTGGCAGCCTTTCTCCATGCAAACAACAAACAGCTTCGTGTGGTCTTATCTGCTCCCCAGGCCGGCCCCCATGGACTTGAAATTGGCAAAGTCCCCGGCCAAGGCCCGCTGGCCCTCTGCTTGCTCCCAAACAGCCGTGTCCCAGCTCTTTGAACCTGGAGCCCAGGGCCCAGGCAGAAGGCCCTGCGTGTAACTGGGGTCAGTTGTGGGTACCGGGCCAGGCACTTCATCTCTCTGGCTCATGGATGGTTTCCCTGGCTGTAAAATGGGGAGCATTTTGCCCAGCATACCTCCTAGGGCCAGTGGGTGGCTCCAGCAATGTCACATTGCAAATAATGCATCAAGTAAGGGGACTATGGGAATGTGAATTTTAAAAACCATATATTCTTTTATTGGGACTTTGCTAGTGTGAGCTAATATCAACCCTTATAATTCATACACATTTATAAGGTTTAATTTTTTCTCTTGCTACTCATGCCATGCTTTGTCTAATGGGGAGGCAGCCCATGTGTAAATAGAGATGCAGTAATGGAGAAAGCTGACAAGACTGGGAGATGGGGTGGTATAGAGGAAATCCAGGAAGGCTTCATGGCAGAGGTGACATTTGAGTTAAAACTTGAAGAAAATTAAATGTTTGAGGGACTTCTGTGGGTGGGAGGTGAGACTCAGTCTTTGGTGCTCTGCAGGGCAGAACCCGAGAGACAGAGGAACGGATTCTGTCTCAATAGGAGGGAGATCTCTCTGTCGGTAGAGCTGATAGCATCAGGAGGTGGTGATTTGCCTGTCACTGGAGGCGTGCAAGCAGAAACACAAGATGTTCGCAGAGAAATTTCAACCCAGGCCAAAAGACTGTTATGATCCCTGAGAGTCTAGGACCATGATTCTAAGATGCAAGAGACAAGTTCCACCCTGGGCTAGCCGGTGAAACAAGCCAAACCCACATAAAACAAGACAAGTACGCTCCAGGCCAACTGCTTTGGGCCAGCTGAGCAGTGGGAACCACAGGCTCAGAGACGGCAGGGGGGAGACGCTGAGCCCAGTCTTGGTGGAAGGGTAGGACTTGGAGAGAGGAAAGGGCATTCCTGGCAACAGGAACAGCTCAGGCCAAGGAGGGGAGGTGGGAAGCAGAATGACCCTTTGCATGAGGGGCAGGAGAGGAGACCACCGCCTTTTCAAAGGCCTTTGATCACCACCGGTCTTACTCTGTTTCACGTCTCCTGCACTCAAAGAGGGGCCCGGCGGGGAGCCTTTACGCCCACTAAGCCTTCTCCTTTCCTCAGTGCAAAACGGGGATCAAAACCTTTGGCTCCGCGGGCCGTCATGGTTCAGGCATGGAGTTTGGCAGACACTGCTGGGCTCTGAATCATGGAGGTGGAGAGTGGGGAGAAGAGAGAGCTGGGGAGAGGATGGGTAGGCCCTGGGCAGAGTGAACGCAGAGGAGCTGCCCGATCCCGGTTCGGGCCTGGCCCGTGTGCTGGGGGGAGAACAGAACTCCAGGAGAGGAACTGGGGGTTCAGCCAGACCAGCTTGAGGTGGGGAGACCTGTAAGCAGGTTGGGGATGGAAGAGGTCAGACCAGACCTCCAGGCTACCGTCTTGCCTCCCCTCCACCTAATTCATCCATCCTTTATTGAGCACCTACTGTCTACCTGGCCCCAGGCCATGTACTGTGAAGTAGAAACAAAGTGTCAGTCATTAATTAATTTATTTTGGAGCAGTTACCGAGCACAGGCCCAGGGCAGGTCTCTGGAACTCTGACAACTCCGCAGCAACCTGGCAAGGCCAGAAGTTATTAGCCCCACATTGTAACAAAGGAAACTGAAGTTCAGAGAGGTTAAGTGACTTGCCAGAGGTCACACAGATGGTAAGAAGTTGGCACTGCCGGGATTAGACACCAGATGGGTCTGTCCGGAGCCCTTTGCTCCCTCCGCCCACCTCATTGTTCTTGCAGCACCCCACCACCACTCTGGAGCCAGAGAGCGGAGGGGAGAGGAGAGAGGAGGGGGAGGGGAAGGGAGGGGAGGAGGGAGAGAGGCTGAGGCAGAGAAAGGCCTGGAGCTACGACAGGGAAAGGCACACGCGAGACTGCTCAGAGCTGGAAGCCCGAGCCAGAGAAGGCATCAAAGGACCATGTGTGCACTTGGCAGTCGATGACAGGGCCCGAGCGCCCATGCCCAGCAGGCCCAGCCTCCTGGGCCACCGCTCTGAGCCCCTCGAGGCTCTGAGCAGATTACTTAGACACTCCAGGCCTGGATTGCGGTGCTTGGGGTGGGTCGTGGGGGAGTGTGCGGGGGGCGGGCAGGGGGGCGGCTCAGGCCCGGGGTGGAGGGGCAGGCGGCGCCGGAGCTTTGGCACAGGGGGACCATGACAGCTTGGCATCCTCCACCCTGCTGGGCCATGGCTGAGGCTGCCCGGGCCCTGGGGCCAGCAGGCCCAGCTGTGCAGCCTGGCCACAGAGGCCAGATGTCTGCTGGGCACCTGGGGAGCTGCCCGACACGCTCCCCCAACCCGGGCCGTTCAGCCCTGTTCAGCTGGGCGGTGCTGGGGCTCAGGCTGGGGCACCGGCAAGGCGGCTTGTCAAGGGGCCATTCAGTGGTGGTGGAGTCAGGGCCTGGTCTGCACCAGGATTGTCTGTTGCCATGACTACACACAGGCTGGGTCTGGGGCCCGGCCTCCCAGTGTTCCCCTGTGAGAGCTTCATGGGTCCGTGGGGACTGAACTCGTGATCTGGGCTGGGCAGACGGCCCCTTTGGCCCAGCCAGTGAATTAGCTTTTCCTTAGGAAACTATTCACTTTGCTCATTCATGGTGTCCCCCTCTGGGCCCCGGCGCCTCCTTAGACAGCTCTGTGTCAGACAGCCAGAGCCCCACCCAAGCTCTGCTGCCCAGCGGCTGAGGACGCTGACCTCACGCTTTCCTATCAGTGTGGGAATGGCTGGGCCTTGGCTGGCAGCAGCGCGTTTCCTTACCACTTGCTGTCACAGCCCAGGCCTGCTCTCCCACGACGCTGGACCCTGCCCACACCGCTCAGGGCTGGAGGGACGTGGCTGCCCAGCCAAAGGTGCTCAGACCCAGTCCCCGGCCAGGCCCTCCCCAGGTAACACAGCGCGAGCCATTATGCTCAGAGAAGTGGCCTGGCTTTGAATCCAGGCTCCATCTATTTGCAGCTGTGTGACCCCTAGCCTGTGTCTTAATGTCTCTGAGCCTGAATTCACATCTGTTAAACTGAAGTTAATAATCCCTGCCCTTCCACCCTCACTGGGCCATTTTGAGGAGCAGGAAAGAGAAAATGCTTTGGAAACATAATGTGCTTGGGCAACACTGATTACTTTGTAGACACGGTATTATTGCCATCATCCCTATCTTTTATCATTAGCATGCTTTTATTCATTCTGGTTCATGGGGGACTCTGCCTCCTTCCTTCCAGGGGTCCCGGGAGCTGTTCCTGGTGCAGTTCCTGGAGGCGTCTTCTTCCCAGGTAATGTACATGAAATTTGCACGTGCCCAGGTAAGACAGATGATGATTAAATTTGCAAGAGACACACATTTGGACACTGCAGAAGGAAAAAATATTGGTACGCCAGCCGCAGAGGACTCATCAGTCACTCCTGTATTAAAAAGCAGTTTACATGATGCTGTTCTACAACTACTGAGCATAACTTTTCTAAAAGAGGAAACTCAGTGCTTGCAATCCGTAGGAAAGTGGCCGCCTCACCAATCCTCTGCTGTTTACAGTCTTCGAACCATTAACCCCACTCTTGGAGATCCATTCAAAGGAAATCATTGACAAGAAGAGAGAAAAAAAAGCCATCTGCCCCAAGTTTCATAGGAATGTTACTAGCAAAAATGCAAAACAAGAAACCCGCTTGACAGGAGGGTGTGATTAAGTAAACTAAGGTTATGCAACTACTAAAAAGTATGAATATGCTCTCTGACGGTCAAGTGATTTTCAAGTAAAAACAATATAAAAGCAAGAACTAGGTGCGGATGAAAATGAGCCCCGCCTCAAGAAAAAAAAAAAAAGGACAGAATGTTAGCTCATTGGCATGGCAGGGGGGTGGGGTGGTAGTGGGGAGGCAATCTCTTCCTTTAATTTTTAAAAATAGCATGATGTTTTAACGTAGATTGAAAAATCACAAGTAATATTTTCAATACTTAAAAAGTGTTTAAGGGACTTCCCTGGTGGTCCAGTGGTTAAGAAACCATGCTTTCACTACAGGGGGCATGGGTTCTAGGTCCAGGGGACTGAGACCCCTCACACCACACAGTATGGCCAAAAAAACCCAAAGAATAAAAGGGTTTGAGCATTCAGAATTGATGTGGAAGTGAGAGAAACCACCAGCACGTTCCAAGGCACCCACAGAGGCAGGAGACTTTTGCCAGAAGAGACAGATGAGGAGACAGAGGCTCACAGAGCCCAAGGCTTGCCCAAGATCATGTGGCTAGGCAGTGATGGATTTGACCGTGGGTCAGAGGATGGCTTCTTGGCAGGGACCTTGATGGTTTTCCCTCTCTCTCCCTCTATCCTGTCAACACAGGGGCTGGTCTCGGAGGCCTGGGAGGAGGAGGTGAGTTCAAATACCAAACTTGGCTCCTCGCTAATGGGGTCTGAGTCTAATCCACACACATCCTTAGACCTCAGACCTCAGAAAACCCAGGCATTAAGGAGTCCCTCATTTCCCAGACTGAGCGTCTAGTGGGGAGGGGCTTTTCTAAAACCTAGATCCCATGGGCCCCCTAAGCCTTTGCCCCCAGCCTCTTTTCCCTGGGGGCCGCCGCCTTCTTTCATATTTCTTTTGATCCATGCAAATCCAGCTGAGTGGGAAACATCACCCCCTTCAGAGGCCTGATAAACAGTGCAAGAGAGGGAAATCCCAGGTCAGGACGGGAGCTGGGGCCCCCACCCAGGCAGCTGGGCGCTGGGCTCCCAGCAGCTCCTTGTATGCAGGGGAGGACCATTGCTGACCTCACAGTGCCCTGTGGGGATTGTGGTGAGACAGGTGGGCTGGGACTCCCCATTAACGACCATCTCTTCCCTTCGTAGCACTGGGCCCTGCAGGCAAACCAGCCAAGCCAGGTAAGCCCTGCAGCCTCTGAGCGCTGAGCCAGGGCCGGGGGCAGGGGAGGGAAGGGGCCACAGAGCCGTGAACCGGGTCTGTGGATGGGAGGAGGGAGTGAGGTGGCGGACGGACCCTCCCCTCTAGTCAGCGCCTCCCAGGACCAGGCTAGGACTGACCTCCAGGGCTTCCAGGGTCAGGAGGCTAGAGGCAGCTTACAGTCCTCCCTGAAGATGGGGTGTCCCGCACCAACTCTGCCCAGACCTCTGTACCCCCCAAGAGTCCCCTCTGCACCAGATCCCAGAAAACAGCCCTGTTGCTGGGGTCAAAGGTCAGAATTGAAGTTCCAGTGGCCACCAAGCCTGTCATGTCACTCTGGGCTCAGACATAGATAATTGGACCCTGGCCTCTGCCTGAATGATCCCTGACTCCCAGATGAAGCCCTCTCTTACTCCAGGCCAAGATCTCGGCTATCTTTGACTCTGATGACCCATTCTGAGCCCTTATCCTGACCCCAGATCAAAGCCCTGCACCTAAACCTAGGCTGTACCCTGACCCTAACCCCAGATGAGCTTCCTTCCCAGGCCCCTTTCAACTGTGCTTCGACCATGGAGTTTTCCAGTAAGATGTGGTTGGCTCTGTCTTGGCCCACAGGGCTCCAATCTACTGCTAGGTCCACTAAGCTCCAGAGAATACACCCCCCAGGCAAGAGGGAGGGCGGGTTCCTCCTTGAAGTCCTGGTGGATAAGGATCAGGTGGAGGAAGGGGTGTCTCCCTGTGGATTTATGATCTGATCCACATGAGATGTAGCCCCCCCCCCAACCTGCCCCCCACCGCTCTGTGTCTCCCTGGCTTTGAAGCCCGAGACTCCAGGACAGTTTGCTTGTCCAACAGCTCTTACGAAATCCACCCCCCCAACAATGTTCGATGATTCAAGTGCAAATGAATCTATGAGACCCAGATTCCCCTTCCCTGCAAGCCCATCTGGGTTGTGAAACTCTAGGGCTGGGGCCAGGCAAGAGAGAGAGACACAGGAGGGCAGGAGGCCTGGGCAAGGGGTTTACTGGGGTCTGTAGGAGTCTGCAGGGCTGGGAGCCCTTTGGGGTTCATTGCTCATCCCACCAGAACCGGTTTCCTATCTTCTCAGAGGACTGAGTGATCTTAAAAGGGTCTTTGATGGTGGAGAGAGAACAGAGGAAAGGCTAGATAAGCAAGGGTGTGGAATTAGGATCGCACTTATCTGGGAAGACCCAGATGGAGGCAGTCGTGACTGCGGAGCTAGAGGAGGGACTGGTTGATCCCATTGGCAGCTGGGGACACACGGTAGGTTGTGATGAAACACCAGAGAGAAGGCTGAGAAAACCGCACACAGTTGCAGTTGGTAAAGTGAAGCTTTGAGTAATGAAAGGTTTAGCTTGACTTCCAAAAGGACTTCCAGCCTGGGGTAAAGATGTAGACCGAGAGGAAAGTCAGGACCTCGGCTGATGAAATGGGCCTGGACTCCATGACCTCCCAGAGCTTATCTTTCAGCCTGAGGACTCTGGGCTCCAAAGGCCTGGACAGGGCCACAGTGCCCCCCACACAGGGCAGCTCCCCACATCCGGGCATGCCCAGGCAAGTGTCATGCCTGGGAACAACTAATCCCTTGGCAAGTAGAGGGTGGGTGGCCTGGCAGCTGCTCCTCATGGGCCTCGGTGGGCTGGCCCCTCCTGGGCTCTCAGTGGGGGACCAGGCAGCTGGAAGCCAGCACCACCCACACCCTCAGCACCAGCTGAAGGCCAGTCACCCACCCGAGAGCCCAGGAAGGAGCGGGGGGGACATCCAGCGGTCACCCCAACAGGCTGCAGACCCGACATGCTCTCTGCTCACGGGCCCTGTGGTCCCAGGAAGGTTGGGGACACGCGGGCCCTTTTGTATCTGGGGAAACTGAGTCTTGGAAAAGGGAAGTGACCTGCTATTTCATGCAAGGAGTAGCATGGGGCAGCAAGATGTAAATCCAGAGCTCAGTGACTCTAAATAGAGATGGCTGGATAAGCCAGGCCTCTCGGGGCTCCCAACCGTGGGCATTCTCACCCCTCTCTCCTCCTCACCCCCTCTCCTGCTTTCCAGGGGCTGGACTCCTGGGGGCATTTGGGCCAGAGGAGTCCACGGGAAGAAGGGCAGCAGGGTGGGACGCTGCTCAGGCTGCAGGGTGACCCTGAGGGGAGCACGGGAAGAGGGCAGATGGCTGCAGATGGCCCCCTGCCCCCACCCCACCCACCCGGCCTCTTCTCGCTTCCTGTCCGGTCCCCATCCTCTCCTCCTGGCCCCTCTGCGGTCGGGAAAGGCCAGAGGGTGTCTGCTGCCCTGCTGGACCTCAGGAAACAGGCCAGGCTGGAGAGAAACACCCCCGACAGAGCTGGGGCGAGGCAGGGCCGGCAGGGCTGGGAAGTGAACCCAGGCACACCCCGGGCCCAGCCAGACCACACCACACCTGCCCGGAAGGGAGACGGGCCCATCTCTCAGAGGGCCTGGCTGGCTTTCAGACGGGCCAGCTCACATAAGTAGGAAGTGAGGCCAGGGGACCACACCCAAAGAAAGGCAGGTGGGCTCTCCGGGGCTCAGCTGTCCTGCTTGTTTGGGGTCAGTCCCTAGAGAGGCTGCCTCTGAGCTTGGGACCCTGGTGGCCAGGACGGGCGCTTGTGGGAGAGATTCTCACATAATTGGAAACAAAGCCGGCACGGTTGTGAACTCCAACCTGATTGCCCATCGGTCCTGGCCAAAGCCATGGAATGTCTCCTGGAGGGAGAAAAGCAGAGATCGAGCCCAGATGTGGGAAAGAGAGAGCCAGAGGGACCCATTTGGCTTTTTATAAACATTTTAGCATCTGTCTGCAGGCAAGGAGGCTCCCAGACTGCAGGGCAGGCTAGATGGATGACAAAAAAGGGCTCCAGATACAAAGGAGAGGGCGTGGGCTGAGCCAGGGGACTCCTGCAAGGAAGCCGAAGCAAGGCCTGGGGTGGGGCTAACGTGGGAGCAGGGCAGGGTCTGGCCTGGCCTTGCTGGCAACTTCTGCTCAGCTCCAGCCCTGAGAGAAAGCCCTCCTGGGTCCCCCGTTAGCTGGCGGGACCTCCAAGGAAACTGAGGTTCTGGTTGGGAAGTTGGGATCAACACAGTGGCATCCACATGACACAAAGCAGTTGGTTATTAAACAGTGGTGACTATCTTACCAGGATTGGCCGCCAAGTACCGAAAACTTGAGTCCAGCTTAGAGACCTGAGTGGCCACACACAGATCCCAGCATTGCTGGGTTCCACGAGACCCAGGATGGGAACATCCTGGGCCCAGGAACGATGACCCACACCAGCCTCCCCTCACCTGGCTCTGTCTTCTTCTCCCTACAGGTGTTGGAGGGCTCGCCGGCGCTGGCCTTGGGGCAGGTTAGTGTCAACATTCAGGCAAGATGCCCCTCTGGGGGCCAGAGCCAAGGGTACAGGTGCAGACCAGGCCTGTCCTGGGCAGTGGTGTAGGGGGTCATGCTAAGACCACCTGCCCGGGGCCCAGGGAGTGACAGCTGGGTCTTGGCACTATTATAATATAGTGATGAGGTGACGCTGGTGGTAAAGAACCCGCCTGCCAATGCAGGAGACATAATGAGAGGCAGGTTCGATTCCTGGGTCGGGAAGATTCCCTTGGAGAAGGGCATGGCAACCCACTCCAGGATTCTTGCCTGGAGAACCCCGTGGACAGAAGAGCTACGGCGGGCTACAGTCCATGGGTCCCAAAGAGTCGGACACGACTTCAGCAATTTAGCAGGCAGCACGCAAAAAGAGCTAGAAGGAAGCAGCCCCAGGAGCCCAAAGGAGTCACCCGACTCAGCGGGGCTTCAGGAAGGCTTCCTGGAGGAGGGAGGTATGGAAGTCTGACCCCAAAGGATCTCCGTAGCTTGTCAGGCTGAGAGGAGCAGCCTGGGCCTTACTGCATCTCTGACATTGAACCCGGTCCTGGGAGCAGCAGTCATGTCTTTGCACGGAGCAGGAGAGCCTCAGATGTACCTCCTGGACTGGGCGGGCCGGGGCTGGGCTGGGGGCAGGACATCACCCATCTTCCTCTCTGCAGGGCTTGGGGCTTTTCCCGCAGGTGCCTTCCCAGGGGCACTGGTGCCCGGTGGCCCGGCTGGCGCTGCTGCCGCCTATAAAGCTGCTGCCAAGGCCGGTGAGTATTACCCTTTAGAATGTGCCATAAGCCCTCTGGCCTTAGTGGGCTCTCCACCTTGCAAAGAACCTTTCCTGGGTTGGGGGGCAGGTGAATGGGATCCTCAGCTCCAGTCTACTGGGGGTGATGGGAGGCAACCAGCTACGTCCGAGTCTCAAAGTGAGGCAGAGGCAGGCCAGACCTCAGTCCAGGGTCCTCCTGCCTTTCGCGGTTCCTGGTGTGACCCCCCCTCCACCTCCTCAGGTGCTGCTGGTCTCGGCGGGGTAGGCGGCATCGGTGGTGTTGGCGGCTTAGGAGTGTCTACAGGTATGGAGGCGAGACCTGGGTGGCCCGGGGGGAAGTCGTGGGAGCAGGGGAGCCCCGTCTGATGTGGCCCCTTCCCCTCCAGGTGCGGTGGTGCCTCCGCTCGGAGCCGGAGTCGGGGCTGGAGCGAAGCCTGGGAAAGTGCCAGGTCAGTGTGGACAGAGTCCCTGCGGCTGGAGGGCAGAGGTCAGGGAGGGGCAAGAGCCCCCAAGGCCCCCCCGGGACAGGAAGGGCAGGGCCTGGCTGCAGCGGAGCAGGCGTCAAGGGGCAGAGACAGGCCCAGGGCATGATGCCAGGTCCCAAACAGGGGCAAGGGACTCCAGCCGTCCTTCCAGGCCCTTCCTCCAGGACCTTGGAGCAGACCTGAGAGACAGGCTCTGTGGCAGGCATTCGGGTGACCGATGGGGACACTGAGGCGCAAAGCAGGGAGTCAGCATCAGGGCCCGCCCGGTCCTGGCAGGGCTGGGGTGAAGCCCCATCCGGTGCCCATCCCTCCGCACCGAGCCCTCAAGGAAGTGACTTCAGGTTCAACCAAAGGCGGCCTGAGTCCGCACAGCAGGGAGGGAACATCTGGAAGCTGTTAGCCCCGAGGTGGGCTGGGCCGGCCGTGTAAACAGGCTCCAGGAGACGGGACAAATCCACGCACAGAGGGATTTGCAGATGACTTCCGGAACTCGTATGGGGGGGCCTGCAGCCACCACACACATGTCCCCGGCTCTTCCCCGGGGCGGGGGGTGAACCTGGGGGGCTAGCTCGGGAGCCCTGGGGCTGCCACAGAGGGAAGGGCCAGGAGAGACTCCTGGAGGCAAGGCTGCTGCTCACACATTTGGAGGCCAGGCTGCTGCTCACGTGTTTTTTTCGGCCATAGGTGTGGGGCTCCCAGGTGCATACCCGGGCGGAGTGCTCCCAGGCGCAGGTGAGGGCAAACAGGAAAAGGGGGACCCTAGAGCGAGGAGAGCAGCCCCTGGCAGCCTCCCGGGGGGCCCCCCAGCTCCCCCAAACTGTGGCCACTGGAGTCCCGACGGGCACTGTCTCCCTAAGCATCAAAGCTCGGGCCACAGACCTAAGATAGCTCTGGTTGTCTTTCCCCTACGAAGATCAGCAAGCTCCCCCCAGTCCCCCCCAGAACCCCAAGCTGAGGCCCTGACCCAGACCATCGTCACAGCCTGCAGTAGGTCTTCGGGGACAAACCAAGTCCCCAGGGTGGCCAGCTGTTTCCCAAACGCCATGAGTCACCAGGGGGGCCCGCCCAGCACATCCGCCCTGCAGGAGACCCTCAGAGTTGCCCTCTCAACCTCCTTTCCCCGCCAGGGCCTGGCCACCCCACCCAACATGTGACCTCCTGAATTCCCCCAAAACCCCAGGCTCGGGCTGGCTCGGAGGGATTAACTGGCAGAGGGTCCCCCCACCCACACCCCCCCAGCCCCTCCCTGCCCTGTGGCCCAGCCCCCTGGGGGTTGGGGGGAGAAAGGGGAGGTGGCAGCACTGAATGCTGGAGACCTCCCGGCCAGAGCAGATGACAGCTCTGTGTTTGGTAGTGAATCGCATCCGGCGAGAGCCCCCCACCGAGGGCACAGGCCTCCCTGACCTACGGGCCTGTCTTCTCTGATGAGGCTGGGCAGGGCGACGGGAAATTAACTCAGGTTTCAGAGACAGGACAGAAGCGCGGGGCTAGGAAATAGGATTAAAACTTCTGACCTGGGGGCAGATGGGGCAGAGAAGTGACCACCAGAGGGCCCCCCCCAACCCCATGAGCCACGCCAGCAGCTGACATCGAAGAAGGAGGCCAGCTGTGTCCCTGAGGGTGGGTGCGGTGCCAGGTTCCTGCCCTCACTGCCAGCCCCCTCTTTGCCCGCTCAGGAGCTCGGTTCCCGGGCATAGGGGTCCTCCCCGGGGTTCCCACTGGAGCAGGAGTCAAGCCCAAGGCCCCAGGTATGTGGGAGTGTCGGATCACCCTCAGTCCCCTCTGTCCTGGGTTGAGGGGGGTGGGGAACCTGGGCTCAGCTGGCCCAGATGGGCGGTGAGAAATGCCCGATGTGTTTGTGATGAGCTGGGAGGTCTGGGCAGAACTGGCCACGGCTTGGGCCAACACGCCCTTCACTGGTGCTGGGGTGCCCTGGGTCTGCGGTGGCCAAGCCACAGTGATGGTTCCTTGTCATTGCAGCTGGGGGCGGAGCTTTTGCTGGAATCCCAGGTAAGGCAAGGCTGGGTCCCTCCACGCCAGGGAGGGTGGACAGGCCCATGGGGTGTCCAGCCAGGCAGGGACTCCTGCCCTGGGAGGAGCTGAGCACTCCCATTGCAACAGGCCTTGGACTGGCTTTGGCACAAAGTGGCGTCCGTCACAGGCCTGCTTCTCCTGCCCCAACCCCCTGTCTGGCAGCCCAGAGGAGCCCAGAAAACTAGAACCTGCTAGAACTAGAGCTAGAGCCTTCACGCTGCAACTAAAAAGCCCCCAAATGGCGAGAGGGCTGCGGTCTCTGAGTGTAGCCCGAGCCCCAGCAAAGAGAGCATCCTGCAGCTTCCTGGAGGAAGCAGCCCATCGCTGGGGATTGTTCAGCTGACCGACGACATAAGGAGGCAGGAAGGCCCTCTAGGCAGGATGCTTTCCGGATTCTGATGCCATGGGAGCTCACTCTAGTCTGAGCAGAAAGTGGAAGGGGAGGCTGGAGGCTTCGCAGGGCTGCTGGCCCACGTGACTGGGGCCTGATTGTTTTGCCCTCCTTGCTCCCACAGGAGTTGGACCCTTCGGAGGGCAGCAGCCTGGAGTCCCGCTGGGATACCCCATCAAGGCACCCAAGCTGCCAGGTGAGGCAGGCAGAGGATTCGAGAGACACCACTCACACGGGGCCTCCCTGCTGGGAGGTCAGCTCGAGAGGGGACTTGTTTGCCCACCTGTATCTTGGGGTGGCTGGAGAGGGTAGTCAGGAAACCTGGGTAATTTTGCCCACTTCTGGTCACCGGCAAAAGAAAGCCGGGAGGAACTTCCCTGGTGATCCAGTGGCTGAGACTCCACACTCCCAAACCAGGGTTCGAGCCCTGGCCAGGGAATTAGAGCCTGAACGCTGCAACTAAAAATCCCCCATGCCTCAACTGAGATGCTGCACAGCCAAATAAATAAAGAAATATTTTTTAAAAAAGAAAGAGGGGAGAAACCAACATCTTGCAGGTCCTGGCCTCCCATACACACACACGCACCCATGTGCACACACATACACACACACAGAGACCCGTAGCCCCAATGGGAAACCATGTGTGTTGATGGTAAGAAACACCATTCACTGGAAAGAAACGTCTGATGTCAACCCACCCGAGCTGTCAAGTTCACACGATGAGAAGCTATTTCCTGATGGGGAAGTGAGTAAGGAAGACCCTCAGACTTGGGGGCCATGGCAGGTAGAAGAATGGCCATCCCTTTGTGCCCTGGAGCGGGGCATCCTCTCCCCCGCCTCCTCCAAGGCCTTGGCTCTCCTGAGAGCCTCTGGAAGAAGCTCAGGACCTTGATGGATGGAAGGAGGCCTCAGGCCTCAGTACCTGCAGGGACTAGGTCTGTCTGCCCAGGTAGTGGGGGCCCAGTGAGGCGTGGGGCTGCCCTGGGGCAGCCACTGAACCCACGCTCCATCTCCTCAGGTGGCTATGGACTGCCCTACAGCACTGGGAAACTGCCCTATGGTAAGGCCCTCTTAGACTGGCGGGCTTCTGGCTCCTTCCAGCCACAGGGTTCTGGCAAGGGAGCTATGGCCCCAGTCCAGGGCTAGGAGAACACCAGCTGGGGGGTAGGGTGGGTGTGGAGTCTCAGAATGGGAGCCCCCTAAGGAGGGGGACATGGAACTGGGACTCAAGACCTCACACTTATCCCCAGGCCTTGAGAAAACAGGTTTTCTTCTTGGAACCTCAGTCTTTTCATCTGTAAAATGGGAATAACCATTCCACACATGTTTGCATTTAACTCTGGCTGGGGGTGACAGGTGGAGGCTCTGGGTGGCCTTGTCCTTGAAGGCAGGGGAGGGGCAGCCACCGTGAGATCGCACGGATGCCCACTGAGCCTCTCCTCTCGCAGGCTATGGGCCTGGAGGAGTGGCTGGTGCTGCGGGCAAGGCTGGGTATCCAACAGGGACAGGTAAGGAGAGCCTCACCCCTCCGCCAGCCAAATAACTCAGGCTCCAGAATGCCAGCCAGCCCATCCTATATCCAGACCCTGGTCTGAGTTTAAAGAAGGACCCTGGTGGGGCAAGGCAGGAAGCTGGGGGCAGCTCTCCCAGCCTCTGCTTGCTCTATGCCCCACATCCACACTCAGATATGAACCAGTTGGTTTTCTTGGGCCTGGAAGAGATGGACTCCGGAGATGCCGGGGCACACTTTCCAGTCTCTCCCCTTCCTCTTCCCCCAGGGGTTGGCACACAGGCTGCAGCAGCAGCAGCTAAAGCAGCAGCGAAGCTTGGTAAGTACCCCTGGAGCCCCTGCCTGCTAGCTGCCAGCCCTCCAGCCTCACCATGCCTATTACCACTGAGAGCCTGCCTCACAGATAACTAGCCAAGGTGGCCCCTCCTTGCCACACCCCCATTTATCCGACTGTTTCAACACTACCCGTTCTTCCCTCCCTCCGTCCATTCATTCTTCCTTCCACCTGTGCATCTGCTCCACCCTCCAATTCTCCATCCCTCGGTCCATCCATCCACCCCTTCACCCATCCATTCACCCATCCCTCCCTCCTTCTGTCCCTTCCTCCCCTCTCCATCCATTCATCCACCCCTCCCTCTGCCCATCTATCCGCCCATTCATCTCTCCATCCATCTATCTACCCATCCCTCCATTCATCCATCCCTCCATCCCTCCCTCCTCTGTCCCTCCCTCCCTCCTTTTCAGAAACCAGGGACAGATAAGGGCTCTGCTGAAGAATGTCAGCACTGTCGCGGGACTCAGGAAGAGGGAGACATTGCTTCTACCTGGGGATAATCAGGAAGGGTTCTCAGAGAAAATAATATTTGATTCATAGCCTTAAAATTTAGGTAGAGAGTTTGCCAGGTGGTTAAAATAGGAAGGAGTGGGTAGAGCAGAGGTTAGAATGATCATTATAGGTAGAACATGTATGAGCATTTAAACAGTTTAATAGTTGAGTATCAATTTAATATGTACTATAAAACTTTTAACTAGCTCCTCAAGCCCACGATCCCTTGGCTAATCGATGTGGCATGGCCTTCTCTCTGCCTATGCATGGGCTGAGTGGGCCCCTGGCGACTCCCCAGTTCAGAGTTAGATCATGGGGGTGAAGTCTTCACCTTCAGCCCCAGTCCCAAGGGAGCTCCTTCTTGCAGCCATGATGGGATGGAAGAATCCTGCCCACTAGCCTAAGGGGGTGAGGATGTGGAGGGAAGTACTGAGTTGGAGGCTTGCCTCACAGAGGTCCTCTCTCCAGGCCCCCAAGGCTGGAGGGGATGGCTGGAATGTGGGAGCAAGAGAGAGGGACAGCGAGGGGTTGGGAGAGCCAGGCGGCCCGGCGCTTGGATTACAAACTTGGCCGCGTGTTCGGAACACAGAGAGAGGAAGTCTTGAACATTCTTTCAGGGGCCCCTCTGGCCTGGGGAGCGGCCGCTTGTGGTTTCTCAGTATGTGGCAGTGATTAGAATGGGATTTGTCTGAAAACATACGAGTCCCTTAATGAGAGTGTTGAAATGGACACTTTAGGGGTGAGTCAAGGAACAGTGGGGTGGGGGCCTCTTCCCAAGCAGGCCCGGCCGGAGATGCCTGGGCCTCATTCCCAGAGGAGATTGCAGCGGTGAAAACACCAGCATCCAAGCGGCCTTCCTGCCTGGCTCCAGGAGGGGCCCCTGGAAGCCACATCCTCACTGTCCCCACTCCAAACAGGTGCTGCAGGAGCCGGAGTTCTTCCTGGTGTTGGTGTTGGTGGTGCTGGCATTCCTGGTGTGCCTGGCGCAATTCCTGGCATCGGAGGCATCGCAGGTAAGGTCCATCCCAGCAGGCGGCGGGGGGAGGGGGGTGTCCTTGAGAAGGTCACAGGAAAAGGGCCTCACCTTCTGCGGCTTTCTCTCCAGGGGTCGGGGCTCCAGATGCTGCTGCTGCTGCCGCCGCTGCTAAGGCAGCCAAATTCGGTGAGTGTCCCCGAAATGGGCAGTGCCAGGACTCCAGCCAGCCCCAGCCTCAGCATGCACCTTGGAAGGCTCCAGGCCTATAAGGCTGGATGGTCTGTTCCCCGCCAATCCCCCCAAGCATCATGGTCATGCCTCCTTGCCTCTGTCCGGCAGGCTGTGTCCACTGCTCTCCACTGATTGGCCCAGAGGTGTGGGCAGGGACCCTGCGAAGTATCTGGCTCCTCCCACTTTACCCCCTGGGCCACTCACAGCTGCTGTGCCATCTGCCTGGGCCCAGTGGAGCATTCTGACTCTGCTTTAGACATAGAGCTCCTTCCAGCCACAGATCCAAACCCCTAGAGCTCTGTCGGGGTTCCCTCAGTTCCCTCCCCTTCTCTCAGGAGACGTGGATCCACGCAGAGGCAATGCCCCCCCCCAGCTAGCATCCTGCACACAGGATCCGCAGCTCCTGAAGCTCCCCAGAGTCATGCCCCCAAAGGCCCCCCTGAGGTTCCCACAGGGTTCAGGCCAGAACAGCAATCCTTTCATCCACAGGTGCTGCTGGAGGCCTTGGCCCAGGAGTAATCGGTGTCCCAGGAGTTGGAGTACCTGGTGTTGGGGTCCCTGGTGTTGGGGTTCCAGGTGTTGGGGTCCCTGGTGTTGGGGTTCCAGGTGTGGTTCCAGGTGTTGGAGTCCCAGGTGTTGGAGTCCCTGGTGTTGGAGTCCCGGGTGTCGGAGTTCCAGGTATTGGGTGCTCAAGCATCATAGGTGGACCAGCTGAGCTTGGCAATGTGTGCGCATGTGTGTTTGTGTGTGCAAGAGAGAGATGTTAGAAATTATTGCCAAGACTTTCTGATTCTCCTTAACACATCACCCTTCTATCCTCTTCTCTCCATACCCTTGGTCATCTTCTCTTTCTTGGGCTATAATTAACTACTGCCAGCCTCTTATCTTCTTCAATTTACCTTCTGGTTGTCAATATGCTCCTGGGGGCAGGAACCGTGTCTTTTTCATCTCTGTGTTCCCAGCCCTTCACAGAATATGTGTTCAGTAAATGGTGGATAGATGGCTGGGTAGGTAGATGAATGGATGGATGTCTAGAGAGATGGATGGATGGATCAATGGATGGATGGATGGGCAGATGGGCAGCTGGGGAGGTAGGTGAACAGTCAGGTGGATGAGTAGGCAAGTTGATGGATGAGAGAGTGGGTGATGGGTGGATTAGTGGACAGATACAAAGATGGGTGGTTACATGGATGGATAAATAAGATGGGTAAAATGGTGGATGGCAAGATAAATGGGTAGATGAAAAGAGAGATGAATAGGCAGGTGGGGACAAAGTAAGTGGTTAGAATGATGGATGGATGGATAAGCACATGTGTGGATGAGCAGATGAATGGGTGGGTAGAAGGCAAATACAAAATGGATAGTTGGTTAGACATTTAGATGAAAGGACAGATAGGCAGGCGGGTGGATAAATGGATGGATAAATGCATGTGTGCGTGGCTGGAGAGATGAATGGTTGGGTAGATTGAGATCAAAGATAGACAAATGGACAGACATTTGGGAAGGTCAGCGGATGGATGAATGGGTGGCTGGGTAGACAGATGGACAGATGGGTAAGTGGAGATATGAGTGGGTGAATGGATGGACAACCCTGTGTTGGCTCAATAGATAGAAAGAAGACGGACTGAANAGATGGGTAAGTGGAGATATGAGTGGGTGAATGGATGGACAACCCTGTGTTGGCTCAATAGATAGAAAGAAGACGGACTGAAAGACAGAGGGATATATATACACATCCTGAGAGTCCACTCCATCCTCCCCTGAGCGTTTGTGTTTCTCTTGGTCTCTCCAGGGGCTGTGTCACCAGCCGCAGCTGCTAAAGCAGCGGCCAAAGCAGCCAAATTCGGTGAGTGCTGAGCGGATAGCTCCACCCCGCCCCGTTCTGGCCTTTATTAGGACTCCAGGACCCTCATCTTCTACTCCCCATTGTACAGCCCAGAGAAGGAGAGTGATTTGCCCAGGGCCACACAGCAAGTCACTGGCAGAGCTGGGACTTGGGCCTGTTGGGCCCCAGGACGATGTGTCCCCCAGGTGTCTCCCACCGTGAGGCCAAGGGACTCAGTAATAGTAGAGTCCCAGTATGTCACTCCCAGTGGAGACAGTGTCCCTGACCTCCCTGCCCTGGCCAGGACCCTCTCAGAGGACAGCCCAGCCTGGCAGAGGATAAGACTGTGCACAGTCTGCCCATCACCAACAAAGAGCCCTTTCCCCAACTGCTCAGAGAAGAGAGGGGCTGGGCACACACTAGGGGTGTCAGTAGGGAGAAGGCTGGTGGGGCTCAGGCATCTCATGGTTTCCTGCCCTTCAGGGACCAGACCTGGGGAGAGGCTTGCATCCTTTCCCCCATCCAGCATCCCCCAGAGCCCTCCCCAGCCTCTCCCACTAGATCCTTTACCCCTTGATTCTCTTCCCTCCGCAGGGGCCAGAGGCGGAGTGGGAGTTGGAGGCATTCCCACATTTGGGGCTGGCCCTGGGGGCTTTCCTGGCTACGGAGATGCAGGTAGTATTCCGGGAGCTGGCCTTTCCCGTGAGCCTTAGCTCCATGAAGGCTGGTGGTGGGGGGTGGGGGGACACAGGGAAAAGTTTGGAGGCTCGTCTTCTGTGGGTCATGGGAGGCTGGGGAGGGTAGAATGAGCTCTGGGAACTCCGGGAGGACCTGGGGGAGAGCGCAGGACGGGCCTCCCGTGCCCTTGGGGCAGGTGCACTGTTAGCACAGCCCAGCTGAGATCCAGCAAGGTTTCTGAATCTCTTTCTTTCTCGATTCCTCGTAGCAGCAGCTCAGGCAGCTGCAGCCGCCAAGGCAGCCAAGATCGGTAAGTGCCCCAGCCCCGCGTCCCCTACCCGCTCCTCCTCCCCTCCTCCCCCTCCCTCCCAGGGCCAAGCCCTCCCCTCCTCCCCTCCACAGCCAGGCTCTCCTGTCAGGCTCAAAAATCAGAGCAACCTCACACTCTTGGCCTCTGGGGCTGCAAAGTCCTGGCATTAAGGTCAGAAGCCCCTGGCTCCATTTTCCAAAGCCACAGTGAACATTTCTGCCCTTTTCAATTACCCACTATTGGGGTCATTGGTATCTGGCTCATTATCCCCCATCCCACACCAGTGAGTTAAAGATGCCCAGCCGATACCCAGCCATGATGTAACCCCCACCTCCACCCTTGGCTCCCCCAAGAAGGCGGTGCTTCAAGGCAAAGCTGGATGCTCTTCATCCCTCCAGGTGCTGGGGCAGCAGGAGCCCTGGGAGGGCTGGTGCCAGGTGCCCCCGGAGCAATACCAGGCGTGCCAGGTGTTGGAGGGGTGCCAGGTGAGCTGTGTCCCCGCCCAGACATGGGTTTGGTTTATCTCATGGAAGGGGCCCTGGAGTTGATGTAGATCAAGGGTCCCATTTTACAGATGGCAAGACTGAACTCAGAGAAAGGGATTTCCCGTAGTTTGGAGGGAAGCATCCCCACAGGATTCCAGATTGCCGAGTGAACCCAGAAGTCCCCTCCCTGCCCTCAGGGATGCTCAGGATGTCAGCCTGGGAGGCAGCAGAACTCTGCTTGGCTGGGGTTTGGGGAAACCTCATTCATCCCCCATCCCACGGGGACCTTTCTGCTTTCTGATTGGGTGGGAGGGCCCGTGTCAGTCTTTGTTTACCCAGCACTCTTTCTCCAAAGGGAGGAAATGAGATTAACTTACAATCCTCTTTGTTGGTTTGTGTTTTCGTTTTCCCACCAGAAGATTTCTCTTCTGCATTTCTTCTTCTTTCTGGGCGGGGGCAATCTTCGCCTTCCCAGGGGTCGGGACTCCAGCAGCTGCAGCCGCCAAAGCCGCCGCCAAAGCCGCCCAGTTTGGTAAGAGTTGTTGTTTTGTCCTTCAGTCGTGTCCAGCTCCTTGCGGACCCACGCCTGTGGCCCGCCAGGCTCCTCTGTCATGGGATTTTCCCAGGCAAGAATACTGGATTGGGTTGCCATTTCCTTCTCCAGGGGACCTTCCCGACTCAGGGATGGAACCCGCATCTCCTGCTTTGGCAGATGGACTCTTTACCACTGAGCCACCTGGGAAGCGCCCTGCCTGTTCTGCCTCCGAGCCTGATCCCAGAGCACTGCCCTCTCATATCTCTGCTCTGGAGTCTGACAGCACCCCCACTCCAAGCCGTCACATTCTGGGCCTGGGCCTTCCTCACAGGTCTTGGCCCATCCGAGCACTTTGAGGGATGGGGGTGAAGTTTCTGAGCAGGAAGGCAAAGAGAGAAGAGATGCCGGAGAGCCCTCCAGCACCCACCCCTACCCTTCCCAAAGCCCTTGCTGCCTTCCGAACTGTTTCTGGAACAAACGCTGGGCTCCTCTGAGCTCCCACCCACCCCGAGCGAGACCAGGTTCTCCATCTCCTGCTTCATCTGAAGGCCACCCTGGCAGCCCCAGACTCCCACACCTTCCTGAATATAGCACAGCGAAAGAGTTCACTTTAAAGCCCAGCTGCTTACCAGCCCCGGCACTGGGGCAGGGTCAGGGTTTTTTTTTCTTCCTGCCAGAGAAATCTTAACTTCAGGTCTGTTTAATCGCTGAGTTGTGCCTGACTCTTTGTGACCCCATGGACTGTTAGCCCACCAGGCTCCTCTGGCCATGGGATTTCCCAGGCAAGAATACTGGAGTGGATTGCCATTTCCTTCTCCAGGGCATCATCCTGACCCAGGGATCGAACCTACGTCTCCTACCTTGACAGGCAGCTTCTTTACCACTGAGCCACCAGTGATTCCTAAATTCAGACATGGCAACTTGTTTCTGTAAAACTACCGTATGCTGAGGGCTTCCGCGGTGGCTCAGATAGTAAAGAATCTCACTGCAGTGTGAGTTTCATCTCTGGATCGGGAATCTCCCTCCTGTTTTCTTGCCTGGGAAATTCCACGGACAGAGAAGTCTGGTGGGCTATACAGTCCATGGGGTCACAAGGAATCAGGCATGACTGAGCTACCAATACTTTCACTTTCACCATATGCTGAGGTAATCCTTACATCAGCCTTATGAGATTGGTTCTGTTGCACCCATTTTGCAGATGTGGAAACTGAGTCTCCAGGAGCTTAAGTAACTTGCCCACACTCACATAGCTAAATGGTGGCCGAGCTGAGCTTTGAAGCCAGGCCCGCCTGTCTTGCCTTTACTTGCCTTTACTACATGTTGTTAGCTGCTACATGAGTCTGCCTGTATCACCCTCAGAGTCTCAAAGGGGTCCCTGAAACTCCAAAAGTTGAGCTCCTGATCTTGCACAGACCTCTTATTAGGGATGAAGAAACTGAGGCCCATCAAGAGAAAGTAACTTGCCCAAGGTCACACAGCAAGTCTGTGCCCAGCTGGAACAAGGATCCAGGGTTCCTGACCCCCCAGCCAGCTGCTCTTTCCATCAGCTTCTGTCCTCCTCAGTCAGGACTCGGTTAAGGATTGGCTCTGCTCTCTTTTCGCAGGTTTAGCCCCTGGAGTCGGTGTGGCTCCCGGAGTTGTGGCTCCCGGCGTCGCTCCCGGCGTCGTGGCTCCCGGCATTGGCGTGGCTCCCGGCGTCGTGGCTCCCGGCATCGGCGTGGCTCCCGGCATTGGCCTTGGCCCCGGCGGTGTCATAGGTAAGCCGTGTGAATAAGTGGGCCTGAGTGAGGGTCCTCTGAATCCTCCGTGGGTGCCATCCTTAAACCTCATCCTCTCCCCCGCAGGAGCAGGGGTCCCAGCTGCTGCCAAGTCCGCTGCTAAGGCCGCCGCCAAAGCCCAGTTGCGTGAGTGTCCTGCCTGCCTTCTCGGTCTAGTGTGACCCCAGTCTGAGCCAGGTCCCTGGACACGCAACCTCTCAGACCCGCCCTACAGCCTCATGAGGCCCCCCAGGCGGCAGACATGGGCATCAGAAACAGATTTAGCATAAGGGAGACCCGCGTTCGAGTCCTGGGCCCCATACTAGCCGAGTGATCTCTGAGTTTCCTGTCCTCTTGTGTGGGGCTGAGGGCACCCGCCAGGGAGGCTTGTTAGGAGAATCAAATTAAGTTCATCCAAGAGGGAGGGACAGGAGGTGAGGCTGAAAGGGGCAGCGATGTCCGGCGCATGCAGCCCCGGATGCCGGTCTGGGGAGGGGCTGGACTTGGTGGTCAGTGTGAGTTTTAGGAAAACCTGGCAGCAGCGTAGAGGGCAGATGAAGGGGACAGAGGCCCCGCATGAGGCTGGGCCCCTTCTCTTGGGGCCTGACTCAGCTTCCTGGGCAGGACACCCCCAAAAGGGCCTGTCTTCTGCCTGCCGCCATCACCCCACTCCCCCATCTCCCACAGGGGCTGCCGCCGGGCTTCCCGCTGGCGTTCCTGGCCTTGGAGTGGGTGTTGGCGTTCCTGGCCTTGGAGTCGGGGTCGGAGTTCCTGGACTTGGGGCAGCGGCAGGTAAGGGACCTTCTGGGGGATGAAGAGCAATGCCCCCCGAGCCCCAAGGAGGCAGGGCTCTCTCCCCAGCCCGTCCTCCAGCACCCTTGCACCTAGGCGCACGATAAATGCTCTGTTAGGTCCTCCTGAGCATTCTGAGACAACTGGGATAAGAGAAGGGGGGCAGGCCAGCTGAAGGGCTCCAAGCTGAAAAGAAGCCCACTGCCCAAGGACGGAGGCTGGGGGTCCCTGGGGTCCGTGGAAGTGCTTGGGCCCCCCAGCTCCTCTTCAGCAGTGCGCAGGGGCAGGGGGGTCTCTGAGAGCGCTAGTTCTTCATCTCCTAGTTATGCCAGCCTCAAGCAGACCATGCTGGGCAGAGTTCAGCCCTCAAGCACCCCCAGACCAGACTGGTGGGGACACAGTTAGGTCCCGGAGCTCTGTCCCTGGCCTGTGAGCACCTAGTGCAGAGCCACGGCTTCAGGGCTTTGAGAGAAGCAAAGAAAGCTGAGGAAGTCAAGGAGGGCTCCCTGGAGGAAGCCGAACTCCCAAGCAGAGAGCTCAGCTACTGACCTCCCCCACTCTTCCTTTTGCCGTTTTCCCCAGTACCTGGAACCCTGGCCGCAGCTAAGGCAGCCAAGTTCGGTAAGACCCCTCAACACACCACCCCCGGTGGGTGATCCCCTAGTTATCCCTGATAGCCCCATCATCCCTGATAGCACCCGGTCCCCTGACTCCTCTTCCCCTGGGCCAGGCCCCAGTGCCTGGAGCCTACAGCAAAGGGCTGGGATGGTCAGCATGGAAAAAGGCAGTTTCTAGGACACATTAATGACAGCTCCGCAGACTCCGGCTCCCGCCCACTAAATGCCTAGCGTGCCTACAGCCCCAGGACAACTCCAACCGCCCTTCCCATTTCCAGCCCGCCCCCCGGAGGTGGGGCAGTTCCACCTTGGTGAGGACCATGGTCCCGAAGGCCCTGAAGGCCCCGAAGGCCCTGACAGTTTCACGGGGCCCAAGGCCATCGAGGGGCCAGGGCTGATGTCCCAGCAAAGCCAGGACTCCTCATCTGGGCCCCCGCCTTGCGGTCAGCAGGACTGTGCCCGCCACGAGGACGTGGCAGACCTGCCTGCCCCCATCCCCCGACACTTGGCACCTAGGCAGCCCCAGCCTGGCCAGACCATGCTGTCTGTGTCCCCCCGCATTCTGGCCTCCTAGGATCTGGGCCGGGGCCTCCGCCAGGGAACTGCCAACCAGGTCTGGCCGGTCCTCTTGGGACCAGTTTCCACCTTGGAAAGTGTTCCACCTGCAGCGGGCCTGGTAACCCACAGGCCTTTCTCCTGTTCCTTGCTGGCGGCCCTGCTGGTCTGAGCTCGACAGCCATTGCCAGGGAAACAGAGCCGCTAAGGGCTCTGGCTCCAAAGTCATTTCCTGCCCTTGAAGCCTTGAGCACATTGCTTAGCCTCTGCTGTGCCTCAGTTTTCTCATCTGTGAAATGGGGCTAATGATACCTACCTTTCTTGCTGCCTGGAACAATAAGCCGGCTAACAAGCATGAACCACTGACCATGAGTGTCCCCCTAAAGCGCTAGCTGTGATTCCTGGCAGCTCTGTACTGAACAGTGGTTCACACTCAGAGGACCTGCACACAGAGTGTCCTCTCAGGCTTCAAACACCTGTAGGTGAACAGGGAAAGGATCGTCGCCCCCTTTAGGGTCAGAGAGGTGACAGCTATGATGAGCAGAGAAACCAGAATTCAAACCCAGGGCTGTCGGGGTCTGAGACTTGTCCTCCACCCTTGGCAGCTCATGGCCACAACCACCACTGGGACCACCTGCAGCTCCCAGTGCCAGCCTGGGAGGAAGGGGAGGAGGTGGGCAGGTCGAGGATCGGGGGCGGGGGTCTTTCCTTGTCCAGAGGGTCAGGGCAGAACCGGGACTCAGACCCGTGTGTCTGGGAATGGACCTTTGTCCTCTGCTCCTTCCACTGGGTCACGTGGCCTTCGCCACCTGTCTACTTGCCTAGTGACCTTGGGGCGGGGAGGCCTCGTCCTTCAGAAAGGGGGAAGGACTGACTTTCCACCCTCTCTCCACAGCACCAGGAGGAGTCGGGGCCCTTGGAGGGATTGGAGATCTTGGCGGAGCTGGCATTCCAGGTGGTGTGGCAGGTGAGTTGAAACCACATGAAGCCTTGAGCACATTGCTTAACCTCTGCTGTGCCTCAGTTTTCTCATCTGTGAAATGGGGCTAATGGTACCTACCTTAGTTGAAACCCCAGGATGGGCTGGGCACTGAGGGAGACTGACCCATGGAGACTCCCTCCCTGAGCTCCCTCTGTGTCCCCAGGACCTGCTGCTGCAGCTGCTGCCGCCAAAGCTGCCGCCAAAGCCGCCCAATTTGGTGAGCATGGGTGTGAGGTGGGGGCTGCCCCGGGACTTGGGGGTGTGTGTCTGACTACATGCCATGGAGCATATATTCCCTGGCCTGCTCCCCAAGGCCTTTAGGGGCATTGTCTCCCGCGGGTCTAGCCCACCTCCCGGCCCCTGGCTGCCAGCCCTCCAAGGCCCTGGCAGCCCAGGCTCCACGTGGGGCCTCGGATGATAGCCCCACCCCTCCGCAGACAGAGCCAGCTGCTCTCACTTGCAGGGTCTAATACACAGCTCTCTCCACAGGCCTGGGGGGAGTCGGTGGGCTCGGAGTCGGAGGACTGGGAGTTGGTGGGCTTGGAGCTGTCCCAGGGGCTGTGGGCCTTGGAGGTAAGTGTGTTCTAGAATCAGTGAATGAATGGCGTGTGATGTGTGTGTGTGTGTGTGTTTGCACACACATGCACATATGAATGAGAGAGAGACTGACTTTCTTTTCCATCTGGCCACACCTTGTTCAAGCGTCCCTGCCCACACTTCATCAGCAACTCAAGATTATACTGAGCCCTGCCCCCCTCTCTGGACTCCTGCAGCATTTGGAGGGGCCCCAATGGCTCAGCGGGTAAAGAGTCTGCCTGCCGTGCAGAAGACATGGGTTTGATCCCTGGGTTGAGAAGACCCCCTGGAGGAGGAAATGGCAACCCACTCCAGTATCCTTGCCCGGGAAATCCCATGGACAGAGGAGCCTGACGGGCTACAGCCCACGGGCTTGCAAAGAGTCAGACACGAGACTGAGCGAGTAAGCACAGAGCAAGCTTAGTGAGGGCTGCTCCTTGCGGCTGGGTGTCCCAATCTCTCCCTCTCCTCTCTCTCTCAACTCGCCCAGCCACCTCCAGTGGAGGTTCATTAGGATAGTGATGGTTATGCCCATTTTCCAGAGAAGGAAAACAAAGCCTGCAGGGAAATTCCTTTCCCAAAGTCTCTGCCATCATGGTGGACCTTGTGTTAACATCCCTCTCTCGGGCCATCTTTGTGTCTCTGACCCAGCCTGAAGTTTCTTACCCCATGTGCTCCACAAGTCTGGCTACACTGTAGGAGCTTAATAAAGATTTCTGGAAAGACGGATGAATAGAGGAGGGGTGGAGGGATGGTGGAAGGATGAGACAGTGGGCAGGTTGCAGATTGATGGCAGTGGTCAGGAGGAGGACACGACTCTGGGAGAGAGGAGATATTCCTAAGCCCTTCTGCTCCCCATCTTTCCAGGTGTGTCTCCAGCTGCAGCTGCTAAAGCAGCCAAATTTGGTGAGTTGCTCCCACTGCCCCACAGCGAGGCCAGGCCTGCAAGCTGCTTATACCCCACCCCCACTGCCTTGTCCATGAACCAGCTCAGGCCTCAGTCCTGCTCACAATACCCATGAAGGATCCTTCCTGGAAATCCCATCCCCAGACCCCGGAGAGGATGCTCAGGGCCCCTTACATTTTGCCTCGTCCTGACCCCTACCTGCCCTCGTCTCAGGTGCCGCTGGCCTTGGAGGTGTCCTAGGAGCCGGCCGGCCATTCCCACTTGGAGGTAGGGGCCGCCTCTGCTGTGAGATCTGCAGCTGAGCCTGGCTGGCTAGCAGTGGGGACGCCAGGCCTGCATCAGCACAGGGACCCGAGACAGAGGGTGGAGGGGACAGTCAGGGGAAGGCCTCAGGGCTGGGGGGACGCGTGGGCCTCCGACACCAGGCTGATGAGGCTTTGTTAACAAAGCTGCTTTGCCAGTGGGGAAGGGGCAGTGGGAGGAGGTGATCTTAGGTGGAGAGGAGTAGGTGGCCAGGCAGAGGTGGGTTCCAGGGTCCCATCCCATCCCACCCCACCCCACCCCACGCCCCCATACCCCCACGCCAACCCCAAACCCCTCCTGCAGGAGTTGCAGCAAGGCCTGGCTTCGGACTGTCTCCTATTTTCCCAGGTACGGCCAGGCGCCCCAGCCCTGGGCCCCACCCAGCCCTCCTCTTCCCCTGCCCAGAAGGGCTGAGCCAGGCTACAGAGTAGGGGGGGGACCCACATCCTTAGATTGCACAGAGCTGGGCCTTCTCTTCTCTTCCTCCCGTGCCATATCTGGGAGCATCGGATTTTATAAAACATCACGTTCAGATGAGACAAGCTGAGGTTCAGAGAGCACCCAGGGTCACACAGTCACTGGCAGGGCCCCCAACGCCCCAGCCCAGACCTGGGCCCCTCTCAGACGAGGCCCACGCTGCCGGGGAGGGCTTGGTGGGCTCCCTAGAGGCACACACCCTCACCACCCCTCTGCTTGCCTTGCAGGTGGAGCCGGGGGCCTGGGAGTTGGTGGTGAGTCTACCAGTCTCACAAGTCGGGGCCCCATTTCAAGCAGGGGCCTGAGCTCCTTCACAGTGTGTGTGTGTGGGCGGGGGGGGAGCAGGTCCATCCTGTTGAGGGACCAGCCAGTGCAGCTACAGCCCTGGGCTGGCCTTCTGGTAGGGGGGCTTGATAGAGCCCGCAGGAGAATCGCCGAAGCTGAAAAAGTCAGCCTTGGGGTGTGGGGACCCCAATTCCTAGAGCTCCCAGCCTGGCACTTGACTGGGCATCAGGAGTGAGACGGGGACCTGGGTCACCCCAGGTCTTGGGGTCTAACCAGAGAGGTTGACAAGGTCCCATAGAAGAGGAAAGATACTGTTGGGTAAGAACAGGGCCTATTCAAGCAGGTGGTCAAGGAGGCTGAGCCTGGAGTCCCTCAAAGGTGGGGGGTGAGGCTGTCCCTGGGAAATGTGGCCTGGGGTCTGACTGTGGTGGGGGGGGCTGCCACAGAGCTGCTCAGACCTCCACATGCTGCAAGGAACAAGGCTGGGCGGGAGGGTCAGGCGGGGGGCAGAGAGGCCTTCGGAACCTGCTGCTGCAGGGTTGGAGGCGCATGGGTGGGGCAGGGGGTGGTCTGGTCGAGGTGGGGAAGCCTGGCCACCTCCCCAACCCCCTGCATTCCCTCCACAGGCAAACCTCCCAAGGCCTTCGGAGGGGCCCTGGGAGCCCTGGGATTCCAAGGTGAGTAGACTCTGCCCCTGGAAGAGGGCGGTGGTGGGGGGGACAGCCTGGAGGAGGGGGCGGCATGTCAGACGAAGCCCGGCAGGGAGGCCAGGGGTGGGGGAGCTGGACCCCTTACCCACTGCTTCTGCTGTCTCCGAAACAGATCCTCAGAGCTGAGAGCGGGCCAGGGACCTCCTGGCTCTCCCAGGCCAGGCCTGGCAAGCCCTCCCTGCCTGGTACCCACACCCGCACTCCTGCCAGGAGAAGCCGAGAGAAAGAAAAGGGAGGGGGAGGAGGAGGGGCTGGGAGGGACAGAGGAGGAGAGAGAGGACGGAGGTGACACAGGAGCCCTGGTGTCCGGGAACTGGAGGGGTAGACCCCGCAGGGGTCCTGGAGCCATGCCCTTGCTCCAAGGGCAGACGTGTGTCTGGCAGTGTCTGATCACCACCCTCAAGGCCTCTCCCAACGATGCCCGAAAGGGACTCAGAGAAGCCCCAGCTAGCTCCACCCTGGCAGTCGCTCAGGCTGTGGATTCCCTTCCACCCGCACCTGCTTCCCAACCGCCCAGACGTGGCAGCCCAGGGAGAGGCAGAGGCCAGAGCAGCCTGACCTCATTCAAGGCGCCCAGCTCTCAGTCGGGCACCGGCCGGTGCTCGTGGCCCGTGACCCTGCTTGCTTTCCCGAAAAACACCCTGGATGAGCTCGGCAGAGATGGCGTCTCTACCACTAGGCAGCTCGCTGCCACCAGGTGGCGGTAACGAGCCACACCGCGCTCCTGCAGCGGTAGGCGCTGGTCCAGGCCCCACTCACCCGACCCCGGGAGGGGGGGGAGCAGGTCCATCCTGTTGAGGGACCAGCCAGTGCAGCTACAGCCCTGGGCTGGCCTTCTGGTAGGGGGGCTTGATAGAGCCCGCAGGAGAATCGCCGAAGCTGAAAAAGTCAGCCTTGGGGTGTGGGGACCCCAATTCCTAGAGCTCCCAGCCTGGCACTTGACTGGGCATCAGGAGTGAGACGGGGACCTGGGTCACCCCAGGTCTTGGGGTCTAACCAGAGAGGTTGACAAGGTCCCATAGAAGAGGAAAGATACTGTTGGGTAAGAACAGGGCCTATTCAAGCAGGTGGTCAAGGAGGCTGAGCCTGGAGTCCCTCAAAGGTGGGGGGTGAGGCTGTCCCTGGGAAATGTGGCCTGGGGTCTGACTGTGGTGGGGGGGGCTGCCACAGAGCTGCTCAGACCTCCACATGCTGCAAGGAACAAGGCTGGGCGGGAGGGTCAGGCGGGGGGCAGAGAGGCCTTCGGAACCTGCTGCTGCAGGGTTGGAGGCGCATGGGTGGGGCAGGGGGTGGTCTGGTCGAGGTGGGGAAGCCTGGCCACCTCCCCAACCCCCTGCATTCCCTCCACAGGCAAACCTCCCAAGGCCTTCGGAGGGGCCCTGGGAGCCCTGGGATTCCAAGGTGAGTAGACTCTGCCCCTGGAAGAGGGCGGTGGTGGGGGGGACAGCCTGGAGGAGGGGGCGGCATGTCAGACGAAGCCCGGCAGGGAGGCCAGGGGTGGGGGAGCTGGACCCCTTACCCACTGCTTCTGCTGTCTCCGAAACAGATCCTCAGAGCTGAGAGCGGGCCAGGGACCTCCTGGCTCTCCCAGGCCAGGCCTGGCAAGCCCTCCCTGCCTGGTACCCACACCCGCACTCCTGCCAGGAGAAGCCGAGAGAAAGAAAAGGGAGGGGGAGGAGGAGGGGCTGGGAGGGACAGAGGAGGAGAGAGAGGACGGAGGTGACACAGGAGCCCTGGTGTCCGGGAACTGGAGGGGTAGACCCCGCAGGGGTCCTGGAGCCATGCCCTTGCTCCAAGGGCAGACGTGTGTCTGGCAGTGTCTGATCACCACCCTCAAGGCCTCTCCCAACGATGCCCGAAAGGGACTCAGAGAAGCCCCAGCTAGCTCCACCCTGGCAGTCGCTCAGGCTGTGGATTCCCTTCCACCCGCACCTGCTTCCCAACCGCCCAGACGAGGCAGCCCAGGGAGAGGCAGAGGCCAGAGCAGCCTGACCTCATTCAAGGCGCCCAGCTCTCAGTCGGGCACCGGCTGGTGCTCGTGGCCCGTGACCCTGCTTGCTTTCCCGAAAAACACCCTGGATGAGCTCGGCAGAGATGGCGTCTCTACCACTAGGCAGCTCGCTGCCACCAGGTGGCGGTAACGAGCCACACCGCGCTCCTGCAGCGGTAGGCGCTGGTCCAGGCCCCACTCACCCGACCCCGGGAGCTTGATGGTTTGAAATGAGGTTAACCAGTCAGATCCTCCCCAGGAGAGGGCAGGAGCCCTGCCACCGTCCACTTGCCCAGTGGGAGTTTGCCCAATGAAAGGGCGCGGAGTTTGGCCTGGGGTGGTGGCCAGGCTTCCCCCTGGCTTCCTGGAGCCTCTGTTTCCCGTGCTGATGATGTGGATGTGAGAAGAGCTCGGGGCTGGGCAGAGTGGGCAAGGGCTTGAGCCCAAGTGGCCAGGACTGACTGTGGGGTGTGCCTCCCCTGCACCCAGGTGGGGCCTGCCTGGGGAAATCCTGCGGCCGGAAGAGAAAGTGAGCCCCCCGGGACCCCTGACTCACGACCTCATCAACGTTGGTGCTACTGCTTCGTGGAGAATGTAAACCCTCTGTGACCCCACCCCCCTTCCCCATGCCCCCTCCTAAGCTCCCACCCCGGGTGGGAACGGGGCAGGACGGGCGGCCTTGGAAATCCACAGGGCAAGGAGGCAAGAGAGTGGTGGCCAAGCGGGCCCCGGGAGGCCCCCCCCTTCAGAGGCACGGGCTGGGTGGGCTTGGCCCCCTGCCCCCACGCCCTTCCCACCCAGGAACTCCCCCTTCATACGCTCTCCATCTCTAGGGGGACTTGGTGCTACACGCTGGTGCTTTCACTCTTCCTGCGGGGAGGGAGGAGGGAAGGGCAGCCCGTTAGGGAACCCCCTCCCTGGGGCTCCTCTGAAGATGGTGCAGACACTTCCTGGGCAGTCTCGCCTCCCCCTGCCCACCAGGACCCACTTCTGGCTGCGGTCCAGTTGGTACCCAAGCATCGAAACCCTCACGCTGGATTGGGTCATGCCATCTCTTGGCCTCCTTGGCCCCCCTTTCCCCAACCCATCGCTGTTCCCCATGTCCGGACTCCCCCCAACCCTGTATTGGGAACAGCCCTCTTGCTCTTGTGGAATTCATCCGCCCGTCTGTCCATCCGTCCGTCCATCCTTATCCCGGTTTGGCTGCCCGGCACCCCTAGCTGGCTGGGCGCTCCCACCATCGACTCGGTTAACCTGTCATGGCAGCCTGGGCCCAGCCTCCACCCCATCGCACACACCCCTACGAAGGGGCCCCGAGCCTCTGGGTGTGAGGAGCTGTACCAGCCGGGGCCACAGGAATCTCCCCCCCAACCTGGGTCTCCCCCCACGCAGTACTGTATCCCCGACCCCTCCTCGAGCCACTGTACTTCAGAGCATTTCTCCCCTGCCCCGCCCATCTCTATGTGTCTCGCTGTGATAGATCAATAAATATTTTATTTTTTGTCCTGGACATGGAATGGCAACCCACTCCAGTATTCTTGCCTGGAGCATCCCAGGGACAGGGAAGCCGGGCGGGCTACAGACCATGGGGTCGCAAAGAGTCAGACACGACTGAGCGACTGACACTTTCATTTTCACACTTTTACCAAAATCATCTGCCATTGACTTCTGGTGAAAGGCTCCTTCTTCAAGTTCAGCCTGTCCTTTAAAAACGATAATCCCTTTCAGGGGAAGCAGGGCAGCCAGTCCGACACACTCATCCCTCCGAGGAGATGGGCTCACCCAGACACACATTCCCCAGCCCTCACCCCTCAGGCCCAGGTCCTTGGCCTCTGGATGCTGCAGCTGCGGCTGCAGCTGGATGACCGGAGGAAACAAAAATGACCCTTCTGTCCAGACCAAACCTCGACCTCGGTGAACAGCCAAGAGAGAAGAAATGCTCCAACCGAAGAAAAACAGAAGCCTGTTTCCCTCTCCACACCCCCTCACTGTCACACCTGGCGTAAGGCACCACTTTGCTTCTTGACAAAACATAACAGATGGCACCCTGCTGGCTCAACAGGAGACTGAGTACCACCCTTGACTGCACCCACTCCCCAGGGCCGTCCCCCTCCCCTCGTGGACACTCATCCATCTAGTATGAGGATGCCCCCCGTCCCGGAGCCCACCCCTCCCTTCTAGACTCTGGGTACCAGATTCCAAACTTCCCTCCCCAAACCACCAAGTCCACTTCCAGGGCCCATATAGCCTCGCATCCATCCTCCCGAGAGAACCCCAGGGGCAGTGGGCATCCGGGGAAGCCACAAGGGTGGCAGGGAGGAGCTGTGTTGGGAGTACGGGTGGGGTCTGCCCGTGTAGACGCTAGTATCCGCACATCTGAGCACAAGGGCCCTCCCGCTGCCAGGAGTCTGGCTGGAAAGACAGGGGCAGGGCGATGCTCGGGGACCCAGGCCCGGAGGGCAGCAGGGCACCGGAAGCAGTTTAGCAGGCCCAGAATCGCGCGGAGAGGAGGGAGGGCAGGCCGTCCGGGGAGGAGGAGCAGCCCCCTGAAGGCCCGCAGCGCCTGGCTGGAGCGGGCAGAGCCCCGGAAAAGTGGAGGAGGGGTCAGAGGGGGTAGGGGGTACGTTCGCAGAGACAAGGAGCCGCAGTGACCGGCAGTGAGGAGGGACAGCCTGCCCAAGAGCGGTGGCAAACGAGATCCATCCATCACTTATTTGTTCATTGAAAAGATCCCTTGCTCATTCTTCCACAAGCTCTCCAGGCTCTGAGATTTGGCCAGCTCCAGCATTCAGCCCTGGGGCCCCCTGTTTTGGTTTCTCATAATTTATGGCTTTAAATACCATGTGTGCATTAGCAGTTCCCAAACTGATTCCTCCAGCACAGACCTCTCCCCTGAACTCTGGACTGGCACGTTCACAGCCAGTTCCTAACATCCCCACCTGAAAGTCTCATAACCTGAGTAGCATGGATTCCCCCCTCCCACCCCCCACCATAACCTGCTCTCCCCTGCCCCTCCCCACCTTCCCCATCTCAGTTCCAGGGGTTCAGGCAGCAGCTTAGGAATCCTCCTCTCCTCCCATTTCACACACCAGATTCACCTGCAAGCCCCGGGGCACCACCTTCAGAGGGTGACCCAACCACCCCTCCCAACCTCTAGGGTCCAGGTCCTCGTCCACAGTAACTCTTGCCTAGACGACTGACAAGGCTTCCAAACTGGGCTTCCCCATCCTGACCTGGCTCCTTTTCAGCCTTCTCTTCACACAGCAGCCAAAACAATCCCTTTAAAACAGAAAGTCAGCTCAGGTCATGCATCTGCTCAAAATCCTGCAGTGGCCGCCGTCTGCCCAAGCCAGAGGCCCTTCCATGGCCGAGGAGCCCCTTACCTGAATTGGACCAGCTGTTCTGATCTCGTGTCCTGCCACCTGGCCCCCTGCCGGCCACCCAATTACCCTGCCCTGTCCCCACTCCTCGCGGGCAGTGGCCACCCCCTCTCCGGCCACCAGCTCTGCTGTCTCCCCTGCCCAGGACGTCCTTCCCTCCGCTATCAACATGCCTGGCCCCCTCACCTCCTTCAGGTCTTGACTCAAAATGCCACCTTCTCAGAAGGTGCTTCCCTGACCCTGTTTCTGAAATTGCAAACTCTAGGGAATTGCCTGGTGGTCCAGGGGCTGCCCTGGTAACTCAGCTGGTAAAGAATCCGCCTGCAGTGCGGGAGACCCCAGTTCAATTCCTGGGTCAGGAAGATCTACTGAAGAAGGGATAGTATTCTTGTACTTCCCTGGTGATCCAGCTGGTAAAGAATCCGCCTGCAATGTGGGAGACCTAGGTTTGATCCCTGGGTTGGGAAGATCCCCTGGAGAAGGGAGTGGATACTCCCAGGCCACTCCAATATTCTGGCCTGGAGAATCCTATGGACTATACAGGCCATAGGGTTGCAAAGAGTCAGACACGACTGAGCGACTTTCACTTTCTTTTCCAGTGGTTAGGGCTTCCCAGGTGGCGCTAGTGGTAAAGAACCCACCTGCCAAAGCAGGAGGCAGGAGCCCGCATGACTGAAGCTACCGAAGTGGTTAGGACTCCTGACTTTCACTGCTGAGGGCAAAAGTTCAGTCCCTGATTGGGGAACTGAGATTCCACAAACCGCACAAAATACATTTATTAATTAATTAAATAAAATTGCAAACTATACCTTCCTCCAACACTAGCCCTGCCTTCTCTTTCTCCAGGCACCCGTGACCAACGCCCACTGTCATGCCACGGTATAACAGTACACTTCGCTGTTGTCGTTTAGTCATTAGGTCGCGTCCGACTCTTTGCAACCCCATGGACTGTAGCCCGCCAGGCTGCTCTGTCCATGGGATTTCTCAGGCAAGAATCCTGGAGTGGGTTGCCATTTCCTTCTGCAGGGGATCTTCCTGATCCAGGGATGGAATCCACGTCTCCTGTGTTGGCAGACCGATTCTTTACCACGGAGTCATCAGGGAAGCCCAGAGTACACTTTGCTTCTTTGTTGATTGTCTGACTATCCACACCAGAATGCAACTCCCTGAGGATAAACCTTGTTGTAAGAACAAAAGAGATTAAACTCCCTGCTTTCACTAGATATACACGCTGGGAGAGAGATGGTGATTTAGTCGCTAAGGCAGAGCCGACTCTTGAGACCCCCATGGACTGTAGCCTGCCAGGCTCCTCTGTTCATGGGACTCCCCAGGCAAGAATATTGTGCCAGACTGATAATAGTCTCAAAGAGACCTGGGTCCTAATCCCTGAAACCTTGTAAATATCACTGTTAGTAGTGTATTCAGGCTGCCATAGCAAAGTGCCACAGGCTGCAAAAATTTATTTTCTCACAGTTCTGGAGGCTGGAAGTCCAAGATCAAGGTGTCCGCAGGGCCAGTTTCTCCTAAGGCCTCTCTCCTCAGTGTGCAGGTGGCCACCTTCTACCTGGGTCCTTGCATGATCTTCCCTTTGTGCANCCATAGCAAAGTGCCACAGGCTGCAAAAATTTATTTTCTCACAGTTCTGGAGGCTGGAAGTCCAAGATCAAGGTGTCCGCAGGGCCAGTTTCTCCTACTCTTTCCTCAGTGTGCAGGTGGCCACCTTCTACCTGGGTCCTTGCATGATCTTCCCTTTGTGCATATATGTCTCCTAACCTCCTCTTCTTATGAGGACATCAGTCACAGTGGATTTGAGCCCATTTTGACGAACTATTTTTATTTTAATTCTTGTATTCTTTTTATTTTTTGTGTATTTTTTTCAGTATTGATTTATTTGGCTGCACCGGGTCTCAGTTGCTGTGTGAGGGCTCTTAGTTGTGGCATGGGGGAATCTCAGTTCCCTGACCAGGAATCGAACCTGGGCCCCCTGCATTGGAAGCGTGGAGTCTTAGCCACTGGGCCACCAGGGAAGTCCCTGATGACCTCATTTTAAGCTAATCGCCTCTTTAAAGATTCTATCTTCAGACACAGTGACATTCTGAGAAGCTGGGGGTTGGGACTTCGACATATGAATTTTAAGGGACATGGATTTCAAGCCCATGGCAGCTACCTTATAAGAAAAAAGAGCTTCTGTAGATGTAATTAAGAATCTTGAGATGAGGATATTATCTTGATGGGCCCTAAATGCCATCACAAGTATCCTTAAAAGAAGTTGGGAGACTTGTATGCCAACAAATTGAATAACCTCCAAGAAATGAATAAATTCCTAAAAACACACAATCTGCCAAGACTGAATGGTGAAAAAAATAGAAAATCTGAACAGACTAATGGCAAGAAAGAATGAATCAGTAATCAATCCTCCCAACAAAGAAAAGCCAGGACCAGATGGTTTCACTGGTGAATTCTACCAAATATTTAAAGAAGAATTTATACCAATTCTCCTGAAACTCTTCCAAAAGACTGAAGAGGAGAAACAGATCCAAGTTCATTCTAAGAGGCCAGCATTACCCTGATACTGATACCATTTTGTTACTCTGAAAGCCAGACAAAGATACCACAAGAAGAGAAAACTACAGAGAAATGACATGAGCAAGGTGGCAGAATAGGAGGTCTTCAGCCCACATACCCTCACAGAAACAAGCCTAAAATTCATCCAGAACCTCAAAAGACCCCAAACAGTCAAAACAGTCTTGAACAGGAAGAATAAAGCTGGAAGCATCACTCTTCCTGACTTCAAAATATTACAAAGCTACACTAATAGAGAGAAAGAGAGAGTCCAGTGGAACAGAATAGAGTCCAGAAATAAACCCATGCATTTATGATCAACTAATCAACAAGGGTACCAAAAACACACAATGGGGTAAGGATAGTCTCTTCAATAAATGGTGCTGGAAAAAACTGAATATCCAGATGAAGAAGAAGGAGGGTGAACCCCCATCTCACACCATACACAAAAATCGACTCCAAATGGATTAAAGATAACTGTAAGGCCTGAAACTATAAAACACTAGAAGAAAATAAACATATAGAAGAAAAGCATATTAGAAGAAAACATAGAGGAAAAGCTTCCTGA